CCAATCCTCTCGCGCATCTCCTAGAACTTCACCCTTCCAAGTGACTTGGTCAGAATATCTGCGAGCTAATCGTTTGTGTTGACATAATGAACATCCACCTTTCCTTCTTCCACACAATCTCTGATGTAGTGGTACTTTTTTTTGGGAAACATAGTAGAAAAAAAAACATGCATGCAATCACCGAAGATCAATATGAAGATGCATAACGGGTTGGGATCACATTCATTACCGTCACCAAGTTGCAGCGAAAGAAGAATGTGACAGTGTAGATCGTACTTGGAGTCTCTCGAACTGTCGATGAAGCGGATGTTTGCCTCTCACGTTTATAGCCTCTTCACGGATTTATATATACATATGTATTTGTAGATTGCTTTTTAGTAGATGCATTATTCATCCTTAAAGTCCATAAATTTGTCTTTTTTGACATATCGTATTTCAAAGTATTTTATTCTGAAATTTTACACATATACACATAACATCCAGATAAAAGAAGTTACCATTCAATTTACTTCTTTGCACATGTCACAAATGATCATTTTTTAGATGAAATTTTACAGGTATGCAAGGCACAACATAAACTGTTGGCGCAGCCCTAGAACTATCTCTCTCTCACACATTCGCTCGGACGTAGGTGGAAAGAGAGGGACACAGATATTTCCGGCGCACATACGCCTCGCCGCACGAACGGCGCCTCGGCCACGTAAACAGCCTAATTTTTCATTGAGCACGAACTCTGTCTCGGCACATACGGCAGCCACACCCACACGAAAGACTACCAGAGACTACATCTCTCCTAGCTCCTTACCCTTGGCCTCGCAGCCGAGTACACTTTATATAGCACACCCACGCACACATGCCAGTGGCCACACCTAACTCACGCACACATGCACCACACCGGCCACTACCGCATGACCCGGCCACTAACCCACTAGCTACATGCATGCAACTAGATAACGACCTTATCCATGCACTCCAGGACTCGCAGCTCCACCGGACGCTCCGCTCGTCACAGCCGCGGGACTCGGCTGCCAACGGAACCACGCACGTCAAGATTAGTGCTAACATAAACTAACTGTTTGAATAGTATTTTCAAGTTTGTAAGTGTACTAAGCTTAGCAGCTTTTCCACGGGAGGTGGTTTGAAGCATGGGAAATGGAAAACATGGCACCGCCTCCCAGATCGGTATCTTCTCCATCCATTAAGTCGTCAAGGTCGTCTTGGGGATTTTTTTCGGTCATGAATGCATGCATGGTGGTCTTGATGATCCACACACATATTTTCATCAAGAAGGACAAGAGTAGTTATGTCTTTTTTTAACACAGTACAGACGTAAGTGTTCATACGTGTGCACATACACTTATCCTTATTAACACACACATATCCTATCCCTATGAACACCTTCGAGAAACTGAGCTGGCATATTTTCTTGAGATTTACGAAGTCACTGTAGACGCCTCCCTTCTTTTCAAAATATAAGGCGCGCTTGACTTTGCACGGTCATTGATGCACGACTTTGACCACCAGTATATATCAAGGTACATGGTTTGAACATGTATAAATGTCATGGTCGTATTAGCCTTAAAAACAATTTTATTTAATATATATGTATACTAATTTTATAGACATACAATGAAAATCATAGTCAAAGTTATACAATAAAAACCAAAAAAGTCAATTAGCACGTTATATTTTGGGAAGGTGGGAGTAGCTTAGTAGCTTTTTTCACGGGAGCGGTGTGAAGCATGGGAAACGAGAAATAGCGTACCACCATCCAGATCACGCACTAATAGAAAAGGGGGCAAAGGTCCAGGACGGGTCAGCCCATTAGTCTACTGAGCTGGCATATTTTCTTGAGATTTACGAAGTCACTGTAGACGCCTCCCTTCTTTCCAAAAGTGTGCACATACACTTATCCTTATTAACACACACATATCCTATCCCTATGAACACCTTCGAGAAACTAAGCTAGCATATTTTCTTGAGATTTACGAAGTCACTGTAGACGCCTCCCTTCTTTCCAAAATATAAGGCGCGCTTGACTTTGCACGGTCATTGATGCACGACTTTGACCACCAGTATATATCAAGGTACATGGTTTGAACATGTATAAATGTCATGGTCGTATTAGCCTTAAAAACAATTTTATTTAATATATATGTATACTAATTTTATAGACATACAATGAAAATCATAGTCAAAGTTATACAATAAAAACCAAAAAAGTCAATCAGCACGTTATATTTTGGGAAGGTGGGAGTAGCTTAGTAGCTTTTTTCACGGGAGCGGTGTGAAGCATGGGAAACGAGAAATAGCGTACCACCATCCAGATCACGCACTAATAGAAAAGGGGGCAAAGGTCCAGGACGGGTCAGCCCATTAGTCCCGGTTCAGTCCAGAACCAGGACCCATGGGGGCATTGTATCCGGTTCGTGAGCCCAGGGGGGCGGCCGGGCCACGTGGGCCATTGGTCCCGGTTCGTCTGGACCTTTTGGTCTCGGTGGGTGGGACGAATCGGGACCAATGGGCCTCGCTCCTGGCCCACCACCATTAGTCCCGGTTGGTGGCTTGAACCGGGACCAAAGGCTGCCCT